CCTCACAGCCAATGAGCCCTGTGATTGTAAAAATGTGCTCCCTCACAGCCAATGAGCCCTGTGAATGTAAAAATGTGCTCCCTCACAGCCAAACAGCCCTGTGACTGTAAAAATGCGCTCCCTCACAGCCAATGAGCCCTGTGACTGTAAAATTGTGCTCAGTCATGCAAAACTTGGCTCGCCAATGACTTGCTATGGCTCCCTAGCAATGTGCAGGCACCTCTCCGTGGTGCTGGGGACCAGTATTCGAGTATTCAAGAGTATTCGAAGAAGCAAAGACCTGCCCAACATCTTCCTCGTCTGTTTTGTATTCCGAAGGATCAGTATCGGATAGATAGAATGAGCCCTAGATAGATCATCCCAAATTTAATGCCCAAAATTATAAATTACAACTGAAGTGTCCTTGTTACCGAAGGGCGTATTCCCAATTGCTCTGCATTGATAGTTTGCGGTCCGATAGTCCCTTCGCCGTAATGGAGCTGGCACTCCCATTGTAGAGCAAACGGAGACGAGACTGTTGTGTTAGGATGCTTGTTTTGGATGTTTGTTGTGATGTTGGTGAGTGTTGGTGAGTGTTGGTGAGTGTTGGTGAGTGTTGGTGAGAGTTGGTGAGTGTTGGTGAGTGTTGGTGAGAGTTGGTGAGTGTTGATGTGTGTTTATGAGAGTTGGTGAGAGTTGATGTGTGTTTATGAGAGTTGCTGCGATAATAATGAGGCTGGGATCACGTGCATACATATATACCTGTTCACCAGCCTATTTGTATCTTAGACAACATGCAACACAACACACAATCAACTCCCCTCAATAACATGAACACTGAAGCATCACCTAATAATCAACATGGTGAGAGTTGGTGAGTGTTGATGTGTGTTGAAGAGAGTTGGTGAGAGATGGCGAGAGTTGGTGTTGGTGTGTTGTTGCTCAGTGTTGATGTCGATGTGGTGAAATGTGTGTACCGAAACATCACTGTTGTGAACGGTCGGGCGGTGAAGGGAGGGGTGGTCAACGTCCCATGGAGGCAGCGCGGTTTCTTGCCATGTCACCCACATCATAGAAACTTCAATTGCTTTTTTTTTTTGATTCTGCAAAGCAATTTTGATCCCTGTTGGTCACGCCTTGACTACGGCCTCCAACTAATTGTGCAACTCTGATCACGCAATATACTGTACACTCAAGATCAGAACTACGAAGTGTAGAGCCCTGTGATATGTCTCGAAAATCCGAATTATGGGTTCAATTCAAGATGATTATGCGGTAGGCTCAGTTTCTTGCGTCGCCAAAGAAATTGCTTGAGATGACTATTGCTAATCACTCGAACCTATTCTACACTAGAATGCCTACATTATAGAGCGATTGCGAGAGTGAGAGTTTCTTTCTCTCGAGGTTAACATGTCATTGGTAGCTTTGGCTCGGGAATATCTGATTCGCTCCTACAGGTAGGAGCCGTCGCAAATTTGTGAATAATTCCCCGTCAGTACTTCCGATTCATAGTTCACCCAATCTCTCGTAAAAGTCCACTACAGCGATTAAGAAACAGTCGTTTTTTTCTGTGGTGCCTATTCCCGAGTCATGCAATACAGCATGCTCCGCTGCTGATATAGCATGATTGAAGCCCGGTCGATTTCCAACTAGCCCTCCGGGATCAGAACTGGTAAAACACTCTCCACGATCGCCGCTCGGGACCTGGTGATATTTGTACAGGGGTGTTCTCATCCACGTGTGACCCTAGCAGGCATCCGCTCAAATCCTCTCCAAGCAAATATAACATGAGCGCTTATTGGGGTAGATAATTCAGTATATGCTGTACGGGACATTTAGAGGTCCTACAACCCGAGGGCTCTTGTGGTGCTGTTACAGACATCAAACCCACCTTCACGGTGAATTGCTCAACAGTGATATGCCAGATATCGTCTTGGGCGCGATGATAAATACATCATAGATGATCAAAGCACAGTGAGCTCAGAGACGTAGAGAAATCGGCGATTTGCTGGCAAGACCTGCTTGGGCCGCCAGTTGCGATATGTTAGACGACGGTCTCAATGGACGAAGGATACTGGATAGCTTGACTGACCTCCAGCTGCTGTGACCTTCAAAGTGTATGGGCTTTGCACGTAGTGCTCGGGCTTGGATAGAAAAACACAGGCTCAGGAATCAAATCACCAAGCTTCTGTCTAACAGGGAAAAGACAAACAATGGTGATAGCATGCAGCTCCGTGTATGTCCGAGTGGTTCCCGCTCGCTCGAATATGTCGATAAGCTGAGCAACGCGGAGAGGAAGAGGAATCAGGGGGACTCTAACAGACGTGGTTCTTGGGTCATGAGTTCTCTCTTTCGTTTGGCCGTCCTCGGTCTTGTCCATCGATTCGAAGCTGACATGGCTATTGTTAGTCCACTCGGCTAGAGATGACGGGACTTCGCCTCACATTCTCCTTGCAAGCAAACTCGACGAACAACCTCGCCGTGTACGAAAATACGACTCTAGCAAGACGAAACATCGGCTCCTCCCGGTGCCTTCAGATTTTCAGGCTCGAAAGACGCCAGACGCCATCTGAGGACAACGATGGTCACCCACTGGACGCCAGGGATTCAAGCCGCAAGTAGGCTACCCCATGTGGGTGTTCAAATGCCGAGAGACAGACACTGCTATACGCTCCATTGGGTCTTGCATCAGGTAGGCATACCAAAGCATGATCTGATGAACTAAATCCACTGGGAGAAAGTCGAGGTAGCGATCATCGATGCCACCAGTAGTCATGTGGAAGAAACAGAGTATACGATGGTGTTGGTGCAGGGGAGGTCGAGCAGACAAGACATTTGCTCGCTTCGCATTCGTGTGTGAGAAGCTGAGGGTGTCTCCTGTTGTGAGATCCGAGTCAGCAAGTGTGATCCAGTTGGACGAGGTGTCGTGCTTTACGTTGTTCATGAAGAATCCCCCGAGTGTACGGTTGAAGCAGATGATAAACAAGAATCGTGATCATACCAGCTTACCAACTAGATCACTTCCAGTTCTCTTCTGCAATGCAGTCACCAATCATGCCATGCCATGTAAGTTCGTCGCACTCTCCGGCTGTCGCTTCGAGAAGCTGCTGGATGCATCGGGCAAGTTCACAAGATGGCAAAGGGGCGCGACGAACCCACCTGTGACAAGAAAACTGTGCAGTCGTAATGGGAGACCGTTTCGTGTAGACGGCGAGAGGTTGAGGCACTCCCGCCGTTTACGGTGTGAAGGCGATGAGGAGGGCGGAAGACGCGATTGGAGCGCGTCGTAGTGCCCCTTAGTCTTATCTGACGGCGGGAATAGGTTACTCAACATAACATTTTTCACGGGTGGCGATGGACTACTCCTAAAACAACATGGCGATGTCAGTGGTGTCGTGTTTTAGGGCACAGACTTGGCACAAATCATCGGACCTGGCGCAGCAGGAGGCGCGATATTCCACTCACCTTATCGTGGACAACCAACGTCTCGAGCTTATGCGTCCTGTTGTTGGCCCATGGCCTTGGTTTGCAAAATTTCACAAAGGACCTGCTGCATGGTACTGTTTGAAGCGGCAGGGCCAGAAATGGTGTTTGAGCCATGACTTTGCGCGGAACACTGACGGGGTGCTGGTTCGGACTCACTCTGGTGCGCTGTCAACGGTTTCTTGTCCATCGTTAGCTTGTAGATCGGATAGGTATTCCATGGTTCACATGACGCAGGTCAAGACGAGGGAAGAAGACACGGGAAAGGGCTCCGTGGTTTTTGCGCTGGTGTATATTGGCCGGAGTGCACGGGGTTTGGTAGTTTCGCATCACCTTTGAAGTCAGTTGAATTTAGACAATATCTTGCTTGGATTTACATACCCGTATGAAAACCGCTTCTTTGCATCAGGGATATATTCAGGGGCGGGAGAGTGGTCGGCGGCTATGGTGGACAGATGTTCGCAGAGATACATCGACCATCTAACATAAAATCTGCTTCTTTGATCGGCTGGCATGGGTGGCATAGTGGACCTGGTGGGAATCACATCTCTCACAAGCACTTTCTACCTTGCTGCTCCACGATGTATCTATAGATGTCAGTACAGTGGAAATTCCAGTAGGGTTGAAGGATAAGTAGGGTTGAAGGGAAGAACTTATCAGGTACCTCAAACGCAAGGCCTGCTCGACTTTGCGTAGCCAAGTGATAGAATTGTAGAACAAATTGCTGGGGGTAGAGGACGTATTTATAGGCTTCTCGGCTCCTATCGCGTACGTGCTCTGCTAGGTAGCAAACGTTGAAGGACACGATGCCTATACTACTGTAAATTTTACTCTGTCTGATTTTGGGATTTTGGATGGTTCCAACTAATGTGGAAAAAGTGTTAGGATTAAATATATCTCTCCTGAAGGATGTTTCATTACCAGTGAGCGACTGAATATGAGGTACACTCACTAACCATCAACACCGCGAGACTTGATCACCATCACCATCATTGAATGGGCTGTTAACAGAGCGCTGAAAAATCTTCAGATTCTAGTCAAAACTCCACTGTGTTGATTGAATTTCATGGTGATAGTGAGACTGAGTACATAACCACTTATGTTTGTATGGTTAGTCCATAAAAGACTCGAAGAATTGATGGAGGTGGTATTGATCAGGCCCTCGACTTTCTCCTCCTCAACAGCCATGACTGCTAGTTTCCAGGTGATTGCAGGCATTGGCATAGGCAAAATATTCAGCCTCCCACCAATTCCAATGCAAGCCAGTACTGCATCCGATGACCAAGGTCTCGCAATGGGAATTATGGTCGCATTCAGGCTATTTGGTGCTCTTATTGGTCTTGCAGTTGGTGCCACTACATTCAGCAGTATCTTCGCAAAAAGGATTAACGGCATCGCATTGCCTGCTTCTTTGGCATTGTTGGAAGATCCATGTGAGGCCGTGAGCTTTATTCCCTATCTACAAACCGCCGATATCTCCCCTGCTCAGCGCGACCTCATTGAAGAGGCATACAAGGACACCATGCAGACAATCTGGTATGAACTGATACCGTTTGGAGCGTAAGGTCTTTTGGTTCTCTATTCGTGGAAGAATTGACTATGGAGACGCAAGAGCTGGGTCGGCAGCATTTGGAGCATGAGTCAGACTGAATGGGGTTAGGTAGGTTATCAAGGGGATGAGTCGATTTGGTTCAGATTCATTTATGTTGGAGTAGTTGGCACCGAATAAAACATTTGGAAAAATTATAAGATCTGTCCAAAAGATTTGATTTTTCACTTTCGTCCAGGCAACATAACTGTAAAGAAATGGAGACGTAGTAATTTATTCATGTGGCCAGATGCATCGACTGTTTCCGATCCCTCTCGGCCCACCGTTCCAGCAAATTATCCCGTATCTTGTTTGCGACAACGAATCCTTTAGAGAAGACCAGGCCGAGCAGATTCAGTATCTCTAATCGTTGATCAACCGTCCGGGCTCGAGCCCCTGCAACGGTTACTGGAAAGAACAGCATCACTCCCGGAATCTTGGAGTGTCGCAAGACCTCGGCCGAGAGATACAGGATCGTACTCAGGTGTTCAGAAACTTCAGCAGGGGTTAACACCGGGGCTGGAATGTCGTTCCAGTATGGGAAATAGTCGTAGTTGCCAGAAAGAAAGATTAGCAGAGCGTGATAATATAGCAAAGCTAAGTTTGAATTTTGATCAGGACCATCCTGGACCAACTGCAGCAGGGTCCTCGTGTGCCAGTTATAAATGGTTTCTTGGAGATTGAGTCCTTCAGCCGCAACCAGAGCGACTGCTGGATCAGTGAACCGTTCTGGTTCAGGAATCCTATCGATTATAGCAGCGGCTCTGTAGTCCGGATTATTAAAACCAAATAACTCGCTCATCTATCAGCACCGACTCACCGTAGGCTGAAGCTGGATGCCTTAATCATGAGGGTTATTATTTCTTCCATGGGATCCCACCCAGTGGAATTGCTCGACAGGGAGTTCTGGAGTTGAAGCCAGCATTCCTGTGAAAGGATTGTTTCTTCATTGAATAGTAATGCTCGGCTGGCTTCGAGGACACGGAACAGGTCGTAAAATATCCTTCGGGCTGATGACATGCAATCGCTTGGTCCTCCAAGCTGGAGCATTTTTGATGTTCCATAGAGCATATGTTTGACCCAGCCTTCGCCCGAATCATCTGAGAGCAACTAGATGTATTGAGGTTAGTCAAACACAAATTTAATGCATCTGATAGAGGATCCCCTTTCTGATAAAAAGCCTACCTCAAACAGCCCCAGGAAAAATGTGGCCCAGAGAATGTCCTCTCTTTGCGTCACATTTCCTTTTCCCAGGGATGACCGCAAGATACCCATTGACTTATGGTAAGAGGTCATGGCATCCACATTCGGGGGTTTCTCTCCCTGTAATGCGCGCCCACATGTATGTCGGTTCACATCCAAAGCACCAACCGCTATCACTGCATGGTACAGGACTGGGGAAGTTGAAATTAGAGGAAGCAGGTCCGGAAGAATTGTTGAGAAGCTCGTCGTGAACATATTCTCCTGAATAAAAGAGGCAAAATTATCAAGAAAGCGGGTACCCTTATCCTTCCCGATGAAATCAAGCGGGTGAGTCTCGGAGCTGTGCCTATTTCTAATAGCCATGCCCTTCTGACTAGAAATTTGGTGGCCTCCACCAAAATCATCTCGCTGGGTTTTGTTGACAAACTTAGTCATACCATGTCCCGATTGCTGCTGGGCAACGCACATCGTATTTTGTCGAATGCAATGAGCACATGGAAAGCCACCTTCACACTACTAATAATTAGCTTCACTGATCCCATAAAATTGGACTTTCACATCCCAGACCTTGATGTGTCGTTTCGCACAGCCGAGGCAGCGCGTCATCCGCCTCCGCTTGTCCAGGGGGCCAACCATTCTCCCCTGCAAAGTTGTTGAGGACATGGTCTCGATGAATCATCTAACATACACCTGAATCGCGCGTATCCCTGATGAGCACTATGATGAAAATCGATATATTAGAACGAGACCTGCCTAGTCCGCCGGCAGGCAACGACGAGCCCGATGACGCTAACCCAATTGGGAAGTAATGATGCGAGACACCTTGGAAGGGCCCACTCTACTTGAACATCACTACCGAGGTTGATTGTTCTTGGCGACCGAATTACATCTGAACTAACGCCCTATAAATTCCTATTCGGGCAACATTTCTATTTGGCATAGAGAAAGGTTGCGACGGGCTTTGCTAGCAGCCAGAATGACGGTCTGCCACTCCATCCCTTCCCTCATCGGATCTATAAAGGCCAGGGCAGTCCACTGACTATTGTGGTTGGAATCCCATCATCTACTTCAGCAAGATTTCAAATATCTTATTCTTACCCTACTTTCATCTTGGCCCACCTCTTCGACTATTTGATGATGCTTTTCAGTCTTCGTCTGCTGCCCATTGTGGCTGTGTCTGTCTCTGCAGTGGTGATCCCCAGCCCACCCGGAGAATACGATGTGTTTTACCACACGGCGAAAATGGCCGAAAAAGCCAGAGCCGATCCCTTTGATCCCAAGCACGGACCGCGTGCAGTGATGACTTCGGTATTCGCTCCCACCCACTGCAAAGTCGATCTCAAGAAGATAGACTATCTTCCCCCCGCAACAGCCGAATACTACTCCCACCTCTACGGCGCATACGGACTCCCCAATGGTTCACTTCAATCCATATCTTTCCAGGCGTGCCCAGAGCCGCCAAAAGGGCATCACCTCCAGTTTCCCGTCGTGATCTTCTCGCCTGGTCTCGGCACGACCCGGCTGTTCTACAATGCTATTGCACAGGCTGTGGCCAGCGCCGGGTACATCGTGGTGTCTATTGACCATCCCTATGATACCGAGTTCCTAGAATTTCCGGACGGAAGCGTCGTGACTGCCGCAAACATCAGTGACGCGCAGGTTCCACTGGACGTCGCGACTCGGGCAGGAGATGTGTCGTTCGTGCTGGATCAACTGAGCACAAAGGCCGGCGTAGCAGCTCTACTCCCTGGAACCGGGGCTGCTGGTCTGAAAACCCGGCGAGTCGCGGCGTACGGTCACTCGGTCGGGGGTGCAGCCATCGCCGAAGCCATGCATTTGGACCGCCGGATTGTTGTCGGGGCGAACCTGGACGGGTCAATGTTTGGACCAGTTGTTCAACATGGGCTTCGGGGTCCATTCCTCCTGTTCGGACATGAGAATAAAACCCAGACGACAGACCCGACATGGGCAGACTTTTGGTCAAATCTACGCGGGTGGAGATTAGAATTGGAACTAGCTAAGGCTCAACATTATACCTTCTCCGACTTGCCGTTCCTATTGAAGCTTCTAGGTTTGCCTGTTCAGAAGGTCCTGGCCATTCAAACGATGGTTGGAACTTTGGATGGGCTCAAGGCATTTGAAATTGTTCACCGAACCGTCGTTGCCTTTTTGGGCTTTGGGCTTCCCCAAGCACCGCCGAGTTCGCTTCAAGAGGTCATTTCCCAGTACTCGGAGATATCGGTCTTTGCGCGCGGTAAATGAGACGATACTTCCGAGAATGAATAAGATATGTGACAGATTTCAAATTATCTGAATGTATTTACTGGTGGAAGAGAAGAAGGAATAAAATTGGGAGAGACTAGATTTAATCATTCATGTAGAAGTCCAACTGAATGGAGCTAAATGATCAAGCGGATGAGTACATTTGGTTGGATTTATTTTTGAATGAAGTATATATAGGCCCACTGGGCCACTTGTTTACATAGGCCAGTACACCCATATACAGTCGGATGGATGGATGGATGATATCATTTACCCTGACCTCTCGCTTTTGGCGATATACAGGATACAACAACTATATATATCCTTGTATGTACACGTGTAATGTCCCACTTCCTGAAAACGAACTTGGAGCCTCGTCAAGGCCTATCGTGGCCCAGGTGCCGTTTAAGTTATTAGGCTGCCCTCATGGCGCGCGACTTTTGAACCTTTGTGACGCCTCAGCGAAGTCTAGTACGGCTTTGACCGTCCTAGCCCGCGACACGATGTCTGGCTTACCTCTCCTACCTTCGGTTGAGCCTCCCAGCAGACTCGACACGTCGTTGAACGCGTCCCCAGCTTCACGTCTTAGCTCCCTTCGGATTTCCCTCAAATTTGGGCAGTCCACCAGCACGTGGGTGACTGTTTCTTGCGCGCCGCACACGCACTGATCATTGTCGCGGAAGCCGAAGGTCTTGGCATAGGTGGATAGCCAATTGTGGCCCGTGCGTAGCTGTGTCAACAGGTACGCCCGGCCCCTGGGCAAATTCCCATACAGCTTCCTGGTGTAGGTCGCCGGTAGAGTGCTATCGATTTTTCGCAAGTGACCGCCATTGGTTGATGCTTTCCATTCCCGCTCCCATTGAGCGCGGATCTTGTCCCGGATAAGCGCTCTCTTCCTTGTCAGTAAAGGGCGGAAGGGGTGTGTTTTGCCCGGGCTTGCCGCGTCTTTGGCCAACCGATCTGCTGCGTCGTTCCCTGGATCGTCGCAGTGTCCGGGTATCCATTGGAGGCGGAGCGCGATTCCCTTTGCTTGAAC